ACAATTGGCAGACAGAATCCATCTAGTCGTATTTATGACAATGTAGATTGCGATTACGGAGAAGATGCATGGCCTAATAAACCACAGGTGAGCAAAAATAGCAAATTTCTTTCTAAAAGCCCTCTGGAACAAAATTTTATGTACGAATTAGGTGTACTTTTACACGAGTCTATTTATAGACTCCACTCTAAATCTAGAACGTTCCAGGATGCTCTCGGCTATCTGCAAGTGGCCATCTCTTACGATCGCCCCACTTCAAGAGTCATCGTCAGAATCGTAGCTGCTCGCGGCCTAAAAATGAGGGACCCCGCCCGGCGCTTAGCCCCTAATCCATTTGTGAAGATCTACCTGCTTCCGGGCAGAAAGTGAGACTTGAACTTTGATGAATAACAATGTATCACTTTTTCCACTATAATTACCAATTTTAGGGTGTCAAATAAACGTCGCACTCGCTTCGTTCCATGCTCAACGGATCCAGAATGGAACCAAATAGTTGAATGGCAAGTAATGCCTGGATCATTGCCGTCGCTCTACCTAGAGTTCTCCGTTTGGGATTACGATCGTCTCACTGAAAATAATGCGCTCGGACAAGTCACCGTCAGCCTTGCGGGTATGTTTTTTTTAAAATCTGGCTTTGTTGGCGAAGAAGCAACTCTTATAAACAGCTCATATTCTTGCATTTGCCCAAATACCTGCACAAAAAAGATTCTGTTTTCATTTTCTCTTAGAATCACATTTTCAACATTTCTTGATATTCTTATGGCGGCTAAATATTTTGTGTAAGCAGTGGTCTTGTGTTTTACTGCAGAATTCTTTGTAGACAATTTAATCGACAACTATAAATCAGTCTCCTTGTAATTTGCCGCATTACCAGAGCTGTAAGTGATTTATGGCTCTTGATCTTACGAATATAAAACTTCTCGTAAATTACCATCATATCCATACTCCCGATGCCAATGCCTTCCAATTTTGGTAATAATGGTCATAAAGGTCCGTAAATTACGGGTATTTCTGCACTGAATCTGCGCTTTGTCTGCAAGCCAAAATCATTATTAGAGATTGGCTAAATTATTTTTATAAGTATTGATTTCAGCAATTACTGCTTTTCCTCATTGACACACTTCATTGTATTTGGAGAATCCTTATTATCTTTTGAACGAAGCCATAGCTATCTGATTCTACATAAGGCCTTGTTTTGGAGAGATCCGCAGAATTGACGAACATCTGACTTCATCTTTTGATTATTTCTGCTAAATTTGCCAGGCCGGACATCTCCAATAGTGCACTTGGACTACTGTTATGGCTATAAAAGGAATATACTCTCACTCTTAGACAATTGTCTTTGTCCATGGAGCTTATACATCAAATTGAATGGTAGCGCTACTGCTTGATATAGCTTTCTGGGGTAATTTATTGCCGAAGCTTTCTCTTGCAACCCCTGGGGAGGTGCAGTGGGATCATTATAGTTCAGGCGTGGTTCAGCTGTTATTAGGTCAATACATAATTTTTACATCGAAAAATTTGGAAAGTTTGTTTTAAAAATGTCCAAATAAGAGCAGTATTTTGTTTTCCGTAACATAAATCAAAAGTTGTAACTCAGCAATATCAGATTTTCTCAACTTGAAAGCAAATGTTATATTAGAAATTCGAAATTCGCAAATAGTATTAGACACTAATTAAAAACAGAATCAAAATGAGAATTTGGTTATTGTCGTAGTATATTTTGCGCCGTTAAACACTTCACTACTTTTTTGACAGCTCTATCATCGCGTTATGTCAATGTTATACTATATTTGTTTCAAACTCCATAATTGCCCGATTTTCTCCACTTAATTTATATTAAAGTAAAAAATTCAATTTGAGTTGGAGAAATGACGAATATTTCAAATTATTGGAGCAGGCGAATGCATCGTCCTAACATAACGGTTAGGATAGGCGTACTCCACTCTATTTTTTTCGATTTGCATCTTCATATATGACGTCAGCGCATCCGGTCTCATTATCAAAAACTTGCAAAATTTATGTATAATTATT